TTGCCAGCACTTCTGTGCCTGTCACAGCAACCCACAGCACAGAAGGGACCCAGCTCCTTTTTCCTGCGCTGGGCACTGAAGGCTGGGTCCCCCACAGCTGCCCCCTGAGCTGGCTCAGCTGACAGAGCTGGGGACAGCAGAGCAGCCTGCACTGGGTGATGCTCAGCACAGCAATCATAGGGTGACTTTTTTGGCAAGTGTTTTTTTGTGGGCTTTTTTTTTTTACCCTGCTAAAACATTTTGAGATAAGGAGAGCCTATAGAAACTCTGTTTCTCAGACATGTCAGAGGAAATAAACCAAGTTTTTCTGTGTTTTTTTTCTCTGACAGACATGAACAATTCACTGTACAAACTCTAGTGAAAGGAACAACAGCAAATAACTCTTAAAATTTTGATTGGATTTGATTCCACTGTGCCATTTGCACTAAAGGGAGATGATTTCTGATTGGGGGGGTAGGGATGGTTTAAGCTCCCAGGTCACTTCTGCCTATGCAGCTCAAAATGGAGCTCCAGTGATCTTACCTACCCCTCTGGGCCAGCTGTGTGAGTTCAGGCTCAAGTTCACAGAGTCAAGTGTCTCAAGTCAGCTGAATCCATATTGCCTTCAGGGTCAAAAGCTCAAGTCCTGACACCACCTCCCTCAAGCTTGCCTTTCCTTGTCTGGACAGGCAGGCTGACTGTTTCTAGAAAATGCCATCAGCCCCAAGGGCTGGGGGATTTGGGCTGAGCATGAGGTCAGAGCTGACATGACAGAGCAATTAGATAATCAGCTTCTGGAATCAGTGGCTATGAAACATCTGCAGCCCAGACAGCATGGTGAGGGGCAGGGAGCAGTGCTGAGGCTGAGGGTCTGTTAGCTGAGCCAGCAGCTCCTTCCTCCAAAGGCAGGCAGCATTTGGCAAGAGCAGATTATCTGCCTTCAACTCCTCTGCCCAGCCATGGCCAGCAGGTGTGGCAAGGCAGGCAGGTTGTCCTCTGGGCTGGATTTGGACCATGGGTCACAGTGCAGAGCTTTCTGTGTCCCTTCAGAGCTTATCTCTGTGAATGAATTTAGATTGCTATAATTTGATAAAAGCTTAATCAAACTGGCATTTTAAAGGGTTTTGGTTTTATGGCCCTAGCTGTCATGAAAACAAGCTCATTCAAGAAAGAATAAACTAGAGTAAAAGCCAGAAAAAGAGGTAAAAGACCCATTTTAATAGTAGCTTAAGGAACTCTGCTCCTTGGGTCCAGGGTTGGGTTTGTGAGGAGCCAGGCTGGGGAAGACAGCTGCAATTGCACATTAACCCCCCATGCATTGCTGAGCAATCTCACTGTGCAACCTGCTCAGGCTTAGCTACACTTGGTCTGGGCACCAAACCTTGTGTTGAAGTCTGTTATTGTTTTAAAATTAAGATGAATTGTGACTTTTGCCACCATCTATTGTTTTCTTTGCTCTCTGTGAGCTCTTGTGCAGCCCTACAAATGGCACAAAGTGGATGGCACTTCGCTGAGCAGGGAAATTGCTTCCTGCACCAATTGCTCAGTGTGGGGGTGGTGGAGAGTGAGGGCAAGGGCTTCTTGTGGTGGGATTGCAAGGCATGAAAGCTTTGGAGGTGGGAGTGCATAGCCCTTTTGCACTGCATTGATTTTCACTCTGGCTATTTTGGAATAGGGCTGGGTGATTATTTTTTGTATTTTTTTTAATTTACTGGAAAACAGCTCATGCTATTTATGAATTTGAATCAGATTTTGCAGAACTTTCAAATGGGAAAAAAAAAGAAATATGTTGTAGAAACACTTTTATTTTTTTTTTCCTGTTTTGAAGGAAACATGAGTGGTTTTGGTTTTCCAATCCGAGAAAAATATTTTTGGTTTAGTTTACACAAAATATTTTCTCTCTTGTGTTTTCAAATTGACTGGCCAAATACAAATAACAGGTTCTTTCATCCTTGTTTGTGTAGACAAAGAGACTGTCCTGTCTCTCTGTGTTTTAACAAAGGAATTTTCTTTGCATTTATTCAAACTGATTCTTGTCTATCAGAAGAGCTACTGTATTCTTTGTTGTGTAAATTTCACCGCACTACAAAATAATATTTATGTCTCTACAAAGACATTATTTGAAGCATCATCTAGAGAAATGATACTCAAGAAACCAAAAGCATTTGTCTACAGAGAGAGTGCATTTGTTCGGTGCAATCAAGGAGACAAATAAGGGTTGCAAAGTGTCATCTCTATGGTGACAACATTAAGGCCCTTGTTCAGCATGCATTCTGCTTTCACTCTCAAAAATTTGGGGGTGTTAACACTGGCAGGAGCCCTGTGAGCCAAGAATTACCACTTTGTACACTATGTTTGAAAGCATTATTCTAATAAGTGGGTGTCTGGGTGTCTTGAATACAACTTGGTTAGAATATCTCCACAGTGTATCTGTATTGTAAATATAAGCACTATGTTTTATCTTAAAATCCGTTAAAGATCATATGGTAAATCATTAACTAGAAATTTTATTTTCCTAATAAATTGTTCTAAAAGCTATTTAACTTCACTAAGCAGCTTAAATTGTTTTTATTTTAATCTCTGTTGAGAGCAATAGCTGCTGATCAAAAATGAGAGCAGTGAAATTTGTTGGTGCTTAGATATTTAAGAGAGAGACCTGGATCTATGTCTGCTATTGATTTTACATGAAGAAAATGGTTCAGATCCATTTTAGTACTGGAAAAAGCCCACTTGGAAGTACAAAGTAGGCCATAAAATCTATAGACTGTAAAAAAAGAAAGACCATTGAATATTGAGGGTTCATTTATGAGTGGATAGCTGATAATGGAAAAACCCCTGTACCAGTATGCTAAATTGAGCTTCTGTTGCTGCATAGTGGGCAGGGGCCAAGGCAGGAGGGTTTCTGGTCACCTGTGCAGAGCTTGGCTTTTGCTGGCCTCTCTCATGGCCAGAGCTGCAGCATTTCAGGCTGTGGTAGCACGTTTCATGCCGCAGCTTCTCCTGTAATTGAGAGACACCTTACATCCCCCTGCCCTGCTGCTGGAATCCAGGCTGCGTGTTGGCACATGGCAGTGCCCTGGGATGTACCCACTCACACTGGGCAAGTCTTTCCCTAAAGACTGCTGCCTCCCAAGTAAGTACCCACAGCTCTGCACAAGGGTGCAAATTGCCCCTTAGCACTCTGCATTGCTGCTGCTTTGGTAAGAACAGAAAGGATTCAGGTGCATGCTGTTAAATTCCCAGAAGCACTATCACAAATAGAGTGTGTGGGTATAGCACACACACACCTCCTCAGGGAGGTTATTCGCACATGCAAGACATACGTGTGAACCCTCATTTGTGTTTTCCTAGCTTGGACTCGCACCACACTCGTTTCAGCAGGAAATGTTTTTTTGAGTAATGGCAGGAGATGTTAGTCAATGCAGCATGGACAGTGCACACCTTCCCTGTACAGACTTTGCAGGGAAACTGTCAATGAAGATCCACAGTTTGACCTACAAATGTGGTGTACAGCAGGAATGCAAAATGGATATACTGAGGGATCAAAGGAGGCTTCAGAGGGTCTGAATGCTGCTGACTTGTGTCTCCCTGCATCTCTTTAAGTCACAAAGGATCAGCCCCTAGAAATTAATTATTTATCAGTTTTGTGCCAGATATCAGTTCCTTTCAGAGAGGTCTGGTACAGTTAGGTTTCTTACTTTCAATGGATAATTAGCTCAGTCAATTAGCTCCATCAACTTATTAGACTTCTAACTGCAGCTCTTTCCTATCCTGTCAGTGAATATATTCCTTGGCTTGTGAGTAGTTGTGAGTAGGAGGAAAGCAAACAGAGAGTTTCTTCTCTTTCTCTTCTCTGTGTCCAGTGGAAGGATCAAATAGGAAAGTTTGCCTCTCCATCTTGCTCTTCTCCCCCCGGGAAGGGTAGGGGGAGGAGATAATCTCTTGTGTTTGGGAAAACAACACCAGATGCCCATGAGGACCAAAAGGGGCAGCTGTTTAAAGCTGATCACCCCGTGGCTGTGGTCTTTTCTATTTGAGGGGGCTCCTGGTCAGATACAAATTCAATTTACCTCTACAACTTTCCTTCAAAGGTCTTCAGGAAGCATGAAAAAGCCCTTAAGCTCAAAAGCTGAGTTCTGTATGAGCAGATATAAATCGAGGCAAATTTTATAACTGCAGAAAACTGAGGCTGAAACTCTGAAAAGTTTGTAAACATGCTGAACCCTGTTTACTTGGTCCATGGGGAATGGGTCTTCACTTCCAAATTCACTCCTGCTCTTCCACCAACTTCCTGGGTTACAGCAAATGTTGTACAATATCCTTTAGCTCCCCAAAATTATTTTTCTTTCCTTTACTTCAGGAACCTGTGGCTCTGCTGTTCCATTAATTTTTCTAATCCAAATTATACCACAGTTTTCCATTTCCTGAGATTTCTTATTTCTGCTTGCTTTTCCTAGCATCTTGCTGTGTCCTTGGGAAGCCTCCTCCCTGCCCAGCACGGTCATTTGCTCCCAGGAAAAACCAATTTGCCTTCTCCTCACTGTGTCCACTTAATGAATTATGTCTGTTTTCAACATGGTGTATAACAGGCAAAATCCATGAATAATTTATGTACTTCCTCTATTTTTGGTGCTTTAAGAAGAGTATACTTGGAAGTATGTAGAGTGTTCAATGCAGACATGCTGCAGCATGTTGTGAGAGCACCTTAACTATTGAAAAAGCTTGTTTAAGAAAAAGAAATTGTAACATATTTTAGCCCTAAATAAATCAAAATTCTAGCCTATTCTGGGCTTGTAAAACTACTATGCTGTAAAGGTAACAATGTTAAATATAGCCATATCATCTCATGTGAATTTGCTTGCATATGTCTAAGAAAAAATGTGGTATATGTCATATCCACATATATACATTTAAATTATTTCAGAAATCAAGCCATATTTATTGTAACCTATTGCAAGTATGTATTCAACTGTCACTAGATGTATAAGAGGTTCAAAATAAAGACTAGGACAAGTGGAAGGGGGAAAAATTTAGGTTGTCTGAAGCCTGTTATCTGCCTCTGCACCCCATGTTCTGCAGGAGGCTGACTAATGTGCATGTTTGCATAATTACCAGGGTCTGTAAGCATCTGTGAGCGCACAAACCCCGTGGGATTCTGGTCACACAGAGGCTGCAAACCTGATGCTTTGTGTGCCTCTGCAGTGTTTGGGAATCATCCAGGCGGGATCACTTCATGGCTCATGTCATATTAGAGCTCGCTTCCTCAAGCAGCTCCTGCTGCATCCCTGTCTGCTCTAGTCAATGGGAAAATGCAGCCCACAGCCACTCAGCCCCCTGAAAGCAGACCTTGCATGATCCCATGCAGCTTGCTTTGGTTTCTAATCTATCTGCTCTATTCTCTCTTGTTCCTTCCTTAGCCCGTGATTCATCCTGGCCATGAGGAGGATTCAGAATGAAACTGCAAAGCAGAGCAAAACCTTTTTTCTGCCTCCTTCGACTCAGGTAATTTCATAGACAAAGTCTTTCTCACCTTAATCTGTGCTCCACTCTGCAAATGCTGGTGAAATTGCTGAGTTTCCTCACACATCACCCAGTTTTGCCAGGGTAGTGATGTTTGTGAGATGGCACATATGAAGGATGGGGGCTGGGCACCACAAATAGTTGGCATTGCTGGTGCTGCCTATCATTGGAGATCTTTCCTGTGGAGGGAGTGTGTTCAGGCTTCCTTGTTCTGTAATCATGTATAGCATCTGGGCCTAAAGACAGACAAGTCAGAGAAACTCACTATTTAAGTTATTTTTGCTATTAGTCTGTTTTAGTACGCTTTGTTTTCATTTATCTTACTTATAAAGCAACAATTTTATATAGTTGTTCCACTTCGCAATTGCATTGTACTTGTTATACCTTTTGTTAGAGTGCATCTCCAGAAGTGGGGGTCACATAACCCTTTTTCCTGCTCTAAAAATCGGTATGTTATAAAACAAAATTAGTCTCCTGGTAAAAACCAACTTTTTGTCATTTTTGATTGAGTGCCTACCTGTTAAAATGGTGCTTTCAGTTTTATTTACATAAACATGTTCAGGAAATGAATATGTATTGGCCAAAGATATGAATTGAAAGTAGCTTTGGTTTACTAAATTAGATCACATGGTTTTATTCTAATCTACAATTAAAGTGGCTTGAATTCAATCTAATTTATCTCAATGTCAATTTAAAATATAGAATACAAAGTCATTCTGAATAACAAAACTCTGGGATTTTAAAAGAATTTTCATGTCATCCATAGATGCAGGTACAAGGAATTTTAGTGCAGAGTGATGAAGAGGTCTGGATTTCTGGAATGAGATGCAGTTTGGGCTGATCAGGTGCACAGCCAGAAGGCACAGTGGAAAAGCAGAATGAAGCTGTACTCTCCATTGCTGGTGGGACAATTGGCTGGAAAACCTCACAAATCCCACCCAGCCTGAGCACCTGAGTTTTCTCTGGTAGCAAGAGAGGAGGCTGGAGGGTGAGGCAGAGACCTCAGAGTTTCACTCCTGCTCAGGTTCACCAGCAGCCTCTGCAGCTTCATGGTCAGTGCAGCACAGGCAGTGGCATCTTCGCAAGAGCCCTGTGCTCACAAGGGTCTGGAATGACTAAATATAAATAAATAAAGGTCTTTTTTTTAGCAACACAGAAAGCTTAACCTGAGGGCTGGTGATTGTGAGCTGTGTCTCTGCCCTGCTCTGACAGGATGAGAGTCTTATGGGAACTCATAAATCACCAAAGTCTCTGTAGCATCAATTTACAGCCTGAGATTAGTATTGATATTTTTACTGCCAAAACTGAGGGCTGTTGCAGCTTGACAGCACACAAAGGCAGATTTTTGCCTTAATGGTTATTACAAAGCACTTGGATAATAGCTTCAAAAAAGATATCCCTAATTTACTGCGACCAAGTTGTTGAGATTATGATTCTCTGAGAGGCACAATCTTGTTATCATTCCCATCATCACTTCTATAACTGGGAATTTATAATGATTCAGCTTTTGAATATAATTTAGCCAGACAAACTCCACACAGATTTCCAGCTGAGGAGGAAATATTTGTGACATAAATGTAAAGTTCTAGAAATATTGCATCGTTATAGTGGAGCACAGGTCTTTCTTTGGACAGCAACCAGAGTTCCTTCTGCACTGCCCTAAAGCTTTGTCACACAGAGAGAATGTAAAACACAGTGTGGATTCAGGCATCTGAAAAAGCCACAAGCCACATTTTTAGCTAAAAGGAAAAACATTAGAAGTGTGCTGAAATAGTCTCCTACTAGAGCAGCAGCTGATGATGCCAGATGACTTCATTGCTGCTATAGATTTAAATCAATTCCCTGCTGGTTCACTGGTATTTATGCTATTGCTTTAGGTAGTAGAACTCTATTGATCCAGAGGCTGGAAAAAAAATCATCCTCCAAACTATCATAGTTATCACAAAATAAAAACAAAAGTGCAAAAAAGGAGGGTGAGATTTCACCTGGATCTGCTCTTGAGTATGGGTGAAGCAAAAAAGAAACAGATAGGAACTTTTTTTGTGAAGCATTTTAGAACTAGAATAGTCTCTAAACTTGTAAGTTAATCATACTGCATAATATTTGACTCCTATTCTTAGGCAAGGGCTTAATTTCCAAGCAATGTGTTTCTTCATGATGCATATTAACGGAAAATACATCACTTTGTCTTAATTGCCTCTGCACAAAGAGCACTCTAATACAGTTCAGAGTTGGACCAGCCTCTCAGTAAAGGTCAGCAATTTTGCTTTGACTGTGTTGCATTAGCAGGGAAGGACACCTTTCAAAACTGGATTCAGTCCTATTCAGCATGGGGCTAAAATTTAAGTAGGGGTAGTCCATACAATGCTTCTCTTCACATCATATTCATATTTCCAGCATCCTGTAATCAGCAGCTGAGCTCTGAGGAGTAGGTACTACCTGAGTGCACTCCTCTGAGTTAATAGCTGATGCACAGCTTGGTTCCAAGGCCTCTTCATTAAAGGGTCTTGCTAATGTATAGCATTTTTCAGTGCTATTTGGATATTGTGGGGAAATCTTCCTAAAATTGTTTCACTAATCCAGTTTACAGCACAGCCTCAAAACAATCACATTAGCACAAGTGCAGAGGCACAGTGCACTTGTGATTATGTGCCATTGGTGCAATAATAGAAAGCAGGAATCTCCAAAACCAACTTTGCTGCCAGAGAAAATACAGCCTGATTTCCATCAGGTTATTATTTTCTGCGTCTGTTGTGTGAACTGTCCTGTAACTGCATTCACCTTTTCAGAGAAGAATCCACACTAATTACGTGTGTTATTTTTCTGTCTGGGCTTCAGAAGAAACAATGAATTTCAGTAATTGATAGAAATGGAACTGTATTTTAATAGCAAGCCATGCTCAGTGCTTCCCACTGTGTGATTAAAATTCTGTAAGGAATTCCCTCATGTTTGTCATACAGAAAGCAAAGTTTAGACTTTTGTTCTTCCTTGCAAAAGGAAGGGAAAGCGTAAACAAAGAAAATCAATTATAAATGTTCCATTAATAAGGATGAAGATGGAATATATCTGTCACTGGGAAAAACCCTGGCTTGATTCCCAAGGGGCTGATGGCCTCCCAACAGTTTTGGCTCAGCAAAGGCGTTTGAGCTTGGGCTATTCTTGGTCAGATAAAGAGAGGCAGAGCTGGCAGCTCACTCACTGTGCAGGCTGGAAATCTCTGCAGTGCCTCCCTAGCTGGGTCCAGATGCACTGGTTCTCCAGGCACAGTGAAGGACATATTTATTTGATCAAGCTTTTGAAAGAAAACTGTGGGTGTATTCCTAGAATGATGAATGGAAGAGATGATAGTAAGAATGACAATTATTTCAATAACACTAAGTCTCGTTTTCCTTTTGTTCCACTGCTACTCCTGAAATATTAATTATAAGCTAGGACATTCAATTCAATTCTATTTATTTACACTAATGTAAATAAATAATCATATGAATCTGAGCAGTCTTATTCCCCAGTAAGTACATATGCTAGGAGGGCATATTTAAAAGCACAGAACCAAATAATTGCTAAATACAGAGCCACTGCTTAAATTTACAACACCCTTTAGGGAATCTCCTACTCCCTCAACAACAACAAAAATAGTTCATTCTACTGGCCAAACAGCAACTTCCAGATGGCATTAATGTGACCAGCTGAAGCTGGTGGTAGGGATGGCTACTCGCGGTGAATATAGTTGTGCATATTTTGTGTAAAGTTTCAGAGAATAAAGGCGAAACTTGGCCTTGTCACCCTGAGATGAACATCTTTGACCTAACTTAAAACATATAAATACATAGCAAATACCATGGGTTGTGCTTGGTATTTCTCTGATTAGCTCTTTTCAAATTAATTCCATGTGTGGACTTTTCTTTTTCTGTAGTTTCTGGTTCCAGTTTAACTGAAACATCCCAATTGCTTTCCAGGATAAAATGGCCACAGCTGGTGTTATCTAGCAATAGCTATTTCATGATGGCTTAATGAAAAGCATAAGCAGGCCCTAGACATGTGCTTACAACAGAACCTATTAATTTTCACACAAGCTGAAGGTACTCTGTGATTTTGCAGGAAGAGTGAGCTGCTCAGAAAACAGAGCCCCAGGACTTGTGATTCTAAATCACTGATGAGAAGGTTTTATGTTATGTTTTAAGATTGCTAAGTCAAGCCAGACAAAGTGCTAAATATTAGTTTTTGAACAAAAAAAAATTAAAGAAATAATGAAAAGCTGTTCTTCTCTGACAGACTATAATTTCATTACTCCAAATACAAATATGTCTCTCCACTCAGCAGGGACAGCATAGCATCAACAGTTCCTGCATCTCTCTGCTGTTTTTTCCCTTTGTTTGTTGCTTATCTTTACAGAAAAAGATACCTAGGGTATCTCAGCCTCCTGAATACCCCCTTGGTGTAGGAATCCACCCTCTGAGAGCTGCCCCGAGGCCCCAGTGCTGGATGGGATGCCAGGTGCCATTTCCTGCAGCAGTGCCAGCTCCAGCCCCTCCACCTGCCTACCTGGGGAGCCAAGGGCACTGAAACAACTGCTTCTCAACCACCTGGTGAAATGGTTTTGGGGTTTTTTTCCTGGTCTATTTTTAACACAGACCAGCTCACTGATCTCATTTCCCACGCGGCCTCAGGGGGTGCCTTGGGAAGAAGCAGTTGTGCCAAAGCAAACAGCGTGAGATGGGAGCAAGCGGCTGAAGGTCGGGAGTGCTGAGCTGGCGCTGTCCCGAGGAGCCCTGCAGCCAGGGCACTGCTCCACCTGGCATGCCCGGAGCTGAATGCAGCCTCTGGGCCCCCAGGGGCACTGGGTGCCAACCAGGGGCTACAGCAGTCAGCAAATGAAGGCTGCTGCAGAAGGATGATTTGATCTTACACTATAACACTTCTGGAGGCTCTGACATCACAAATAATGCATCAGTTGGGGCACTTGCATGGAACAGGGTAGCTCA